GGGGGGGGCTTGTTTGCACATCGAATCAAAACTGGTATGTTCACATAGTGACAGTTCCAAATTCCCCCATCCCCCCCAAAAAAATAGGAATTTCCCTCTTAGATCTGTACTCGCTGACGGCGCAACGACAACTGCTTCAGGGCGTCGGTCGTGCCTAGGAGAGCAGATAGCGACGGCAGAACTGTTCCTCTACCTATCGAACCTACTGCAGCGATTCAGATTCGCGCTGCCACCTGGTGACAGCATGCCCAGTCTGGACGGGATCATGGGTGCGACGCTGGCACCCGTAAACTTCAGGCTGTGCGCGATCGACAGGCTCTCCGCTACGGACTGACCGCCAGGGTAAAAAATAGACGGGAGCGATGAGCGATTCAAACCTCCGAAATCGCTCCCGTAAAATTTTTGACGAGAGCTATTTTTTCCACAGACTTTTGAAAAAGAGCTCCCGTGAAAAAAAAGAGGGATTTTTCCCCTGGCGGCATCGACACATGATGCGCAAGCTAACACGGAGATTTACGTAGTGAACAGAAGATGCCTTCGTAAAGAAGCAACCCTCCTCTGGACCTGTACGCTACGGACTGACGGCTCGAACGAACACGACAGCCGATCTACGTTAGTCACAGTGCGAATACGCGAAATGACGAGCTTAAAGAAAACGACTTCGTTCACTAGAAGGTTTGCCGCATAGCGGCATCGACATGTGACGCGCAAGCTGACACGGAAATTTATGTAGTGAACAGAAGATGCCTTCGTGAAGATGCAACCCTCTTCAGGAAAAAATTGTTTCCGCAAGTGCGACGTCCGATCCCACTCGACCGAGATGTTTCGTCGCTAAACGCGTACTTCCACCACGTGTGTCTGGCATATATATAATTATGGCAATGTGTATCTGGCGACATTTACTACCGGCAGATGTAATACTACTACATCTGCTACGTCTTTACATAGACAGCAACCAGATATCTACGCTCGGTACCTGTTCGCCGTGAGACTCTCCCAAAAGATGACCTGTCCGTCTAGGCCGAGGGTCATGACCCAGGCATGTGGCGCCCCCTTCGTCTTGGTCCCGAGGCAGACGTAGGCATCGAGGCCGAATCCAAGAAGGAGACCGCAGAGTAGCAGCGCGTGATTCTCACAGTCCTGCTCAAGCAGAGAGGTGCACACTGCATCAGTTAAGGTTCTCACTCGACGGCACTACTTCTTTATTTTTAAATTTTTTATTGCCATAAAAAAGTTACAATTGTAGACATAACATTGCATTTGACATTTCCAGTATACAATACAAAACAAACGTATTCATAGATACACATAACATTACCATTGACATTAGAAGTATACATTACACCTCACAATGCTCACAATTATGTACAGGCACAAACACAGAGAGAGAGAGAGAGAGAGAGAGAGAGAGAGAGAGAGAGAGAGAGAGAGAGAGAGAGAGAGAGAAATGTTATATGTGATAAATCGAATGTTATATGTGATAAATCCAATGTTATATGTGATAAAATCAACCATAAAACCCAAATCGAATTATGAAACAAACAACATGCCATACACGTACGCGTCGATGCGGACTCAAAGAGTGCTGCTCGTATTTCAGGCGATGACGATCGCGGGGACAGCGACGACATCGCTGGTGACAGCGGTGACATCGCTGGTGACAGCGGTGACATCCCTGGTGACGGCGGTGACAGGGATCGGAGTGACGGGATGTCTCGTGACGCTAACGCTCGCCGCGTCGCTGCTCTATCTGCTGCCCCGCCTACGCCGCGGCCGCCTCCCGCCCGGACCCTGGGGCATGCCCCTGCTGGGAAGCCTCCCTCAGCTGGGCGAGAGGTCGTTCGTCTATCTGACTACACTGGCGAGAGAGAAGTACCCAGGTATACATATATATATATATATATATATATATATATATATATACTATAGAGTATATAATAAGAGCGGATAAGCACATAAGATTGCGCACTTTTGGCTAGAATTGTGAAACTTTGCACACGCGTACTACGTACACGAGATAAACCTAATATACACACACACATATATATATATATATATATTGTATGCACTCGTGGGTATAACCAGTGGGTATAATCCACCGGGATTTATGAACGCATTTCTGCCACCAGAGGGCATCTTCAGTGTCTACTTCGGGCAGCAGCTGGTGGTTGTGCTGGCGGAGGCAGGAGTGGCGCGCGAAGCCTTCAGCAGGGACGAATTCAGCGGCCACCCATCCGTCACAGCTTCAGAGCACATCATCGGAACGTACGGTGAGTCATAGATATCCTACACGCACGCACGCCCGCACGCACGCGCGCACACGCGCGCGCACACACATATACGCTCGCTCTCTCTCTCACACACGCGCGCGCACACACGTACACCACACTCACAACCGCGCACGTGCACAACACTCACACACACACACACGCGCACCATACTCACGCGCGCACACACTCACTCACTCACGCACACACGCACACACGCACACACACACGCGCGCACCATACTCACGCGCGCACGCACTCACTCACGCACGCACGCACGCACGCACGCACACAGACCTTATAAATGGCCGTTGCTAATATATAAACCGACTGCAGTCGACCCATCGATATATCTATCAAGTAGCCACGGCGTGCCACCCACCCTCTCGCTTCACGCTCGTAACCGCCGCGCCTTCCCCGCTGACTCCTCTTCATTCTGACTTCCTCGCCCGCGCTCTCTGCTGCAGGCATCTTTCAGACGGAGGGAGAGACCCTGCGCAAGCACAGGCAGCTGTTCCAGCATTTCCTCAGCCACGTCGAGAGGGAGGGTCGGAAGGGAGGTGCGATGAGCACGATAGAGGCGCGAGCGAGAGAGGAGATAACTCTGCTCCTGGAGCTCGTCACGCGGGAACAGGGGCGCGCCTGCGACATACACAGTCAGTGACCGTCTGAAAATGTGTTCGCTCAGTCTGTGACCTTCTTCCTAGGCCTGAAATGTCCTATGTCTGAAGATGTGTTCGCTCAGTCCGTGACCTTCCTAGGCCTGAAATGTCCTATGTCTGAAGATGTGTTCGCTCAGTCTGTAACCTTCCCCACTTACACGCCTGAATATGTGAACACTTAATTTTAGATATTCCCCGTAGGCATGAATATGTATAAATAGATCAGTCTGTGACTTTCTCTCTAGGCCTGAAGATCTGACCACGCAGTTTGTGACCTTATTCCTAGGCGTTAATATGTAATCACTCAGTCTGTGATTCTAGGCATGAAGGTTCCTCTCTCTCTCTCTCTCTCTCTCTCTCTCTCTCTCTCTCTCTCT